GGGGGGGGGGGGGGGGCCGGGAGGTGCGCATACCTGGTGCCAGGAACGGGTTGAGGGACTGGGCCGGCGGGGCTGGCCTGGTCACCAGCGAGTCCAGGTTCACCAGGGCCGCGTTGGGGCCCAGGAAGGACTCGGGGGTTTTCCGGGAGCTGCTGGGCTTGCTCGAGGCGGCGGTCAGGGGCTGAGACTCAAAGGGATCGGGGCTTGTAGTTCCGTTGTTTTGGGACGGTGGAGAGGCCACCGCCTCAGCTGCAAGATAGGGACACACGCGGGCACAGTGAGAGCGGAGGGTGGGGCCCCGAGACGCCAACCCCAGGAGAGTCCCAAGCGAGACACAGGCATTCCGGGGGGCACCCCGCGTGGCCACGCAGAAGACGGGATGTTCGGTGCAGGGCTGTTTCCAACAGACCCGACCGGGGACAGTCGGCCACAGGGGCAGCTCCCAGGACCCCTGGTTCACGTAACTAAACCCAGAGCGCAGGGACAGAAGACGCGATGATGAGGGAAGAGCCGTATCACAACGTTACGTGAAGACAAGCAGGTGACAAGACAACGCAGACAGCATGATTCCCACCCCCCCCCAAATACCGGGGTGCTCCTTCAGGTTGCTGGCTAGGCACGAGCAGCTTATTTTTTGGTGTGTGTTCACTGTCCATTTTCTACAATGAACGTGAATTTCTTGATGGAGAAGAAAGCAAATTATTTTCAAAAATTCAGCCAACAGAGGGTGTACTGAGACAGGCTGGTGGGAACGCAGTGTGCTTGGCCAAGATGCAACGCGGCAGTGGGGTTGAAGGTTCTTAAAAATGGTCATACTCTCCACTCGGTAATCCCATTTCTAGGAATCCAGTCTTGGGAAATAATGCGAAATGTGAACAGGGATGTAAGCACCAGGCTGTTCACAGCAGCATTATTTACTTGAGCGAAACCTGGAATCAACCTAAAATGTCCTCCCAAAAGTTACAGATCAAATAAATTACCGCTGAGCAACGCAAGGAGATATTACACAGCTATGGAATAGTTGCTGAAGTCTTTTTTTTTTTATGTCCTGAGAAAAATTTTTCCATTTTTCAATCTGTTGTTCTTCTGTAAAGGAGGAGAGGGGGGAGGACCCAACT